CCAAGAAGCTTCCAGTAGGCCCCGGTAGCCTGAGGCCCAGTCACGAGGAATACAGGCAGTGGGCCTGAAGTAGTTACTTGTGCCCAACTGCTTTCGGCCTGTGCTTGGCCCGGTCCCCGTACCCAGCCCAGGGCCTGCTTTACATTCATTCACATGGGCGGCCCAGGGCCTGAGTTCATTCAACCAACTGATGCTGTGCAACTGCCTGAATTTCCCCATTTGCGGGGGTACCCTGAAAGTGAGGCCCTGAGGGCCTGTCGTGCCTGCCTTCACTTAGGGCGGCCGTCCTTGTTGCAAATAAGGCCCGTAGGGCTAAGCGGGCATAGCCTCGCATTTACTTGAAAGGCATGGTAAACATTCTTTTATCTGCCCTTGAGATGTGAGTTTTTAACTTTGTGTTCTTCTGTCTGACTTTTTCATCAACTCCCATGAAAAGAGGGAATCCCCTGTATACGGATCTCTCTCCAGGTCTTGCTCCTAAACTTTCGCCTCCCTCTTTCTTCTCCTCCTGCTTTCCTTGTCATTTGTATCCTCACCTCCCTTTTCTTCCCTCCCTCCTTCCCTCCTCTTCATTTCATTTTGTTTGTGTCCACTGTCCTCGTCTCCCTTTTCTTTCAAGCTTCCCCCTTCCCCGCTCCTTCGTTGTTCTTCTTGTTTATTTTGCTTTCATTCTTTTCTTTATATGAGCAACGACCATGGGATATCATCACACAACTGACCTGCCCCAGGTAATTCAGAAATCATTCAACTAGTTCCATGTGGATTTGAGCTCATGTCTGGCCTTCAACAGTTCATGGGTGTGTTTCTCCTGTATTTCATTTTTAATCCTTTCCCTCATTCCTGTTAATCTTTATTCTTGTCTCTCATTCTTTATATCAGCTTATGTGTATGAGGTTCATTCCTGTATATCAGCTTACGTGAATTGCGTTCATTCCTGTATATCAGCTACATGTATTAGGTTCATTCCTGTATATCAGCTTACGTGTATTAGGTTCATTCCTGTATATCAGCTTACGTGTATTAGGTTCATTCCTGTATATCAGCGTACATGTATTAGGTTCATTACTGTATATCAGCTTACGTGTATTAGGTTCATTCCTGTATATCAGCTTACGTGTATTAGGTTCATTCCTGCACTAGGTTCTTTGCATCATTCCTGTTAATCTTTCTTCTTGTCTGTCATTCTTTATATCAGCTTGCGTGTAGAAGATAGCGGTTTTCTTCTCTGCATTTTCAACATTCATGTTTCACATCTGTAACCGCACGTTTAGATCGGGTTTCTTTATTCTTTGTGATCTTGCTTATTTGTGATCAGGTCTACCTTCTTAATAGCTGTTTTCTTCTTTTCAATCCTTCCTTTCTTTCTCTCTTCCTAGGTCGGACTCCGGTCTTCACTCTCTCACGCTCTTCCTCTTTCCTACTCTTTCGTTGTTCCTTTGTTCCTTGTCTTTCGTGAACTTCTGGTTCCTTTTTCCCTTTTGTATTCCTCGTTCTTCCCTTTCTCTTTGTGTTAGTGTCTAGTACTGTCTACAGTTCTAGTTTTTGTGTCTTCTTTCCTTCTCTCTCTCTCTCTCTCTCTCTCTCTCTCTCTCTCTCTCTCTCTCTCTCTCTCTCTCTCTCTCTCTCTCTCTCTCTCTCTCTCTC